GGGCGGAGCCCGGGGGGGGGGGGGCCCGGCGGGGCCTCATGAATATTCATGTCCGGCGTGCCGCGGGCTCGCGGCGGCGAGCGCGGCGTGTCCGGGGGCGCAGATTTTACCGGAGCTGACAAACCCTCGGGCTTTCTCCTCTAAATTACCGCTGATCGATATAAAAACACTTCCTGTACTGTTTTGGGGGGTTAGTTTAGGTTTAGTTGCTGCTCGGGTGCTTGGTGCAGGCCCCCGGGGCTTAGCAAACTGCAAAAAAAAATAGTATATTTCCATTCTATGTTTTCATTTTTACCCTTTAATTTTGCGTTTTCGGGAGACTCCAGCAATACTGAGTTTAACCCTTGGTGTTGCTTGGTTTGCGTTAACGCCTCAGCCCGGGGTCCCAAGGCACTTTGCACATCAGGAGCCGGAGCGGGAGGTGTTTGCGCTCCTGTTACAGCACCCGGCTGATGGATGGGGTGAAAATCTGCCCCTGGGAGCTCATAAAACCCAAAAATGATGCTGAGAGCGTGTGTAGTACATGAAGTTGTGCTTGTGCGTTTTGATAATCAAATCATGTCATTTATTTTCAGGTTTTGGTGGATGGAGTGTGTAACCCAAAGCTTTTCAGGAGCTCCTCTGTCATGGAAAGGGAGAGGCAAAGCCTGGCTCAGTGGGGACCAAGCAGGGTCCTGATTACAGGTCTGTGGTTTCTTTGTGCTTCTCCCTGTCCCGTAGGCGTTGGGCTTTCAGAGTTAATGAGCCTGTTTTGAAGCTGCTGATTTTCCAGGCAGCACTGACTGTTAAACCTTTGTTCCCTCTAAGGAGGGGAAGAAATGTTAATGTCTTATCTCCTTCTCTGGTCTCCTGCTCGGCCTGTTAATTAGTGAGAAAATATCTCTTGCAGGAGTTTTCTCTTTGCTGCTGCTATTATTATTATTATTATTATCATCATCATCATCATCATCATCATCTTCCCGCAAGGGTCCCGACTCCTGAACTCATATGGCATGTGCAGAATTTTGGGAGTGCTGTGGCCTTTATTGATTCCAATCATCATCATCATCATCATCATCTTCCCGCAAGGGTCCCGACTCCTGAACTCATATGGCATGTGCAGAATTTTGGGAGTGCTGTGGCCTTTATTGATTCCAGAGTGTGTGACTGAGATCGTAAAATCTCTCTCCCAGTCCCTGATACTGTCGGACTGGACAAAGGCTAACAATTATAGAGTAAATTTTCCTAACAGCATGCAGAGATGAAGGATGATGCCTGGTTTTTGCTCTTGCTTGGAAGCCTTTTATGTGAGCCATGACTCCTGTCTTGGGGAGGATTTTTCCGTTTCTCCTCTCTGCAGCCTAAGACGGGCTGGAAGGCAGGTTTCCTTCTTCATTCCTAATTTCATTTTTCAGGGTGTGAAAAACAAACTCAAGCTCTTCCAGCCAAAATGCAGCCCTGTTAGGTGACGGTGGTGGTGAGGGAAGGCACATTTTAAGTGTGTTTCGCCAATAGATGTTAAAAATGCACCTTTTCCTATGGCAGACCCTTTGAGTTATGTCTGATGCTCTTCCCTTGCGGCTGCACAAGTAGAGGTGAGAGGGGCTGGGGTGCTCAGGGGGCTGTGCAAGCCT